ATTGTTTTATGTTTTAATAGTATTTTAAAGTGGTTTTGAATTCTTTAGCCTCATCGTGTGATCCCACATTTATCCTGGAGTGTGCTCCCTGCAATGTGATCTGCTCCATCATTTTCCAGAGTCGTTTTGATTACAAAGATCAGAATTTGCTTACCTTGATGGAGAGGTTCAATAAAATTGCCAAAATTCTAAGCTCCCCATGGATACAGGTGAGTTTAGGATTTCTTTTTCGTGAGAAACCACTTATGCTCTTTTCTCTGACAAAGCTAAAATTGTATATGGACCACGCTGTCGGGTGCATGTTTGAATACTGCTGTCCTTCCCAGAGATTTATGAGTGACCATCTGGGATAGGTGGCTGAGCCCTTCGTTTTACACACAGGAAGTGAATGTCCAAATGTCGGGCTGGATTTCAAGCCCATTAGCTCCCCGACCAGTGGCTTTTCTACTCACCCCCCAAACACCACTTCTATAAGTTACTTGGGTGACAGCCCAAAATATGCCTGTATTACTCGATGCACATCCAGGCTCTTTTTGAAGACTTCCATTACCCACATGACTGGTCCTCAACACTTAGAGATCTCTTCATAGTATTACTTGGCAAAAGTATCTTAATTTAAGAAGAGAATATCTCCTGCAAGGACTGCAACTATTTGGGACCATAGAAGTTTTCAGGAAACACTGTCTAATGCACGGGTGTTTGATGTCTCAGATGGGAGCCTAGCTGACAAGGTATCTGGGTTAAGAATGACAAAATGGATAATCATATGGTGTATGAACCAGAAGCAAGCATCACAATGTTACCCTGTCCTGAATTGGCATGATGTACACTCTGCCTAAAGAATAATTGTTTGGTCTTACAGACGTTACTGAACTACTCTGATATACTGTTTGGTTTCAAGATACTTTTGAGAACCACCCCCCTTCTAAAATGCTGATTCTGTTTCTGAGGCTGCTTTAAAGAAAGAAAAACAGCAAGGACCAGTTTTCTGGTCGAAATCAGCTTGCCCAAACTCCCTTAACC